TGCGAAACGTGAGACTAATGTAACGTAAGTAATGTATAATCACGAAATAATCAGTCATTAAAAAAAACTATTTTCATATAATAAGTCTAATTCTTAACATATTTTTTAAATAAATATAACTTAATTTGGGTCATTGCTTCAACTCGGCGGCCTGCCCTAATTTGCTCCTCGTTGATTGCTCGCCTCCTCACTGCCTACGTTCGTCTACATTAGTACTAATGTTTAGTGTTTATATATATATATATATATTGTAGATCATATTCTAATGATATATATTTCGTTGGCTTGTTACCTACTATTCTTGCAACTCCATATATGATGATTCGATCGAGCATGTATGCAAGTGCCTTGAGCTCCTCAGAGAGCGACTCGGAGCCTGATGAGCCAGTCATCAGGGAACAGCCACGCATTTATCGGGCTCCAAGTATTGATGAGGATGAGAAACGAGTTGTTAGAAGTGCAAAGGACAAGAGATATGAGGAAATGCAGACAGTTATTAGAAATCTTAATAATCATAAGAAGATCAAAGATATGGGCAGTATTTTTAAAGGTCAGTGTCTTTTTGATTAACAATTACAGATTTTGAGGATCTTATTAAAGTCTATGAAAAATCTAAGAAAATGAACTATATTGAGGGCGTTCCTAATTTTTACATCAAGCATATTGCTGATCTTGAAGACTTTGTAAACGAGTCTTGGGAGTCCAGAAAAAACTTAACAAAGGGAACCGCAAACGCCTTGACTAAGCTAAAGCAACGCGTAAAGCGTTATAACCGTGATTTTGAGCAGGCAATTAAGCTTTACAGAGAGGTAATGTGATAATTTGCTTACCTTTCCAAGAATCCTGACGCATATAGAGAAGATGTGGAGGAGGAGGGAGAAGGTATTATTAAATTTTGATTAATTATTTTTCTAAAGATGAAATGAGTGAAAATCAAGCTAGTTCAGACCATCAGGTAAGATTTGCTTTTAGACACTCGAATTTCTTAGGATGCGAGATTGATGCCCTCAAAAAAATCTTTTGGTCCTGGAGATGAGTCTACGGATGAAGATGATATTCCACTCCCTAAAAAAAAAGCGGTGGATAGTTACGATGATAATGAAGATCGAGGTGAAAGTGATAGTGAAGATGATTCCTGGGGATCGAGTAGTGATTCATCAGATAACTTGGACAGACAAATGGAGGAATTTAAGGATAATCCGGCAGCGTTCTTCCTTAAGAAAACGGAACCTGATGGAAAAGTGAGATAACTT